AACGCTGRTTGATTCTGAGATGCGCCCTTCTTCTTTTGGTATAATGTGATCTGGTTTCTTGTCACATGGGGTTTCTTTTGATCTTATGAGCCAGTCCTTTAGTTAGGCTTTATTTTTTGGATCTTGTAAATAGCTTAACGGATAGTTCCAATGCTCTCGTTGTAATCAGGTTTCAATTCTAATATATTTCAGATGCCAAAAAAAAAAAATTCATTTACCTGTGAATCAGCGTTACTAGACAATACCTTTTCCGCTACTTCAATTTCGTTTAAGGCTACAACCTTTCATCAAAAGTATTTATATAAACTTGTCGATGTGTTACAAATTAAATGTCTAATCAAATATCTAAGGATTAAACCGAATCAATTTCGGTTAGCGTTTAGGTTTCAGTCATCTATTCAAATCGAATATAACCGAACCGAAATTGTAAATAAACCGAAAATCTCTTCTTCCKAAGAAAAAAAAAAAAGTTGCTTCCTTGAACGATTTTTGGTATTGCAATTGCGACTTCTTCTTCTTCGATTTGAAGTAATTCAGACTTTGACCCCATTCTGTGAATCTCTGCTACTCATATTCTCTTTACAATGATTCTTCTGACCCAACAAATGCCACCTTCAGTTACTGTTCATGTCTTAGCGCCTTCAAGTTTCCGACACCGTCCGATTAAATGAAACAAAGGTTTCACCGGCGATCTCGACGGTGTATCAATGTCGACGTCGCCGTCAGTTTCCGAATTACACACCATCTCGAAGGGTTTTGTTCAATCAAATCATGGTGAGAGTCAAACACCCAAATAATCTTGCAATGTTACAAAAAGTTTGGATTTTTCTTTTAGTTTTAGCCCAATCTCTTCAATGATTACAGGGCAATTACAGAGTAGAGAGAACCCATGTGAACATATGAAAGTCTCTGGTCTTTGTCTACTTCATCGTTGACTTGTTCATTACCATAGTTACAAGCTGTATAAAGAATTCAACTAAACAGAAAAAACAAGTTGGGTTTTGTTGATTAGTGTGTCTACTAGTTGTTTTAAGATAATGATTTTATACTTATGTGACTTGTGAGCACAACAAAATGATCTATATACCAAAAGAAGTTGACATTGTTTTTAGAAACAAGTTGACTTTGAAACAAAACAAAAATTCTTATGCTCTTTTGTGTTTTTTTTCCCCTTAGTTGCATTCTTAAGAGATGATAACTGTTTGAAGAAACAGAGATGATGGCATCGTCGAACGCGCTTTCGCTTATTTGCCTTGTGGTTCTTCTCATCAATCTTGTCAATGCTCAGGATCAAACAGGTTTTTGAAAAGTTTAAATCTTTTGATCAAAACAAAGATTTATATGCTCTTCTTTGATTTTGTGCTTGCCTGCTTTTGTATGTTGAAAAGTTAGTTAAAAACCGGATTTTTAAACGTTTGAATCAGGATTCATTAGCATAGATTGTGGATTACAACCGGAGAATTCGAGTTACACGGAAACATTGACGGGTTTAAAGTATGTTTCGGATTCGAGTTATACGGATAAAGGAACCAGCAGTTCCGTGGCGCTTGAGAATAGAGGAAATCTGATGCAGAGCATGTGGTCTGTTAGAAGTTTTCCAGATGGAATCAGAAACTGTTACACGATTGCGGTTAGTAACAGTACAAAGTATTTGATCCGGGCGGCTTTTATGTACGGAAACTATGATTCGAGAAATGAGTTACCGGAATTCGAACTTCACTTGGGTTCAAACAAATGGGACACTGTTAAATTGGAGTCTTCTCTGAAAGTAGCGTCCAAGGAGATCATATATTATGTGTTGACAGATACATTACAAGTGTGTTTAGTAAATACAGGAAACGGGTCGCCTTTTATATCGGTCTTGGAACTTAGACCGTTGCTGAATTCCTCTTATGCAACTCAATCGGATGCTGAGTCACTCCAGCTCTATCAACGGTTGGATTTCGGGTCATCGCCAAATCAAACAGTCAGGTAAACTGGCATTTTTTCCTAAGTAGTTATGCAATCTAGCTGAAGTTCGATTCTTGACATTTTCGATTTATCAGATTTCCAGATGATGGTTTTGATCGAATATGGTCACCATCTACGCCAGTTGGATCGAAGCAGTTAAGCTCCTCCTCGGCTTCTCTCTCACGGAACAGTACCAATAATTTCCGTCTTCCACAAGTTGTAATGAGAACTGCAGTTATACCAGAAACCGCGAGCGGGTCTGTAGACTTTGGATGGACTCCAGATGATCCTTCTCTTGAGTTTTACGTTTTCATGTATTTTATGGAATTTCAAGAACCGAATTCCAATTCCGGAGAAAGAAGAGAATTCGTTATTTTCTTGAATGGAGAGGCTTTTTCGCCACCGTTCAATGTTACTTACTTGCGGACCACAGCTTTGTTCTCTGTAAGCCCTTTGAGTGCAGAGAGTTTCGAGTTTTCCATTCGTCGGACTCGGGATTCAACTCGTCCACCTCTTATCAACGCTATGGAGACTTACTTTGCAAAGAAATTTCTGCAATCTTCCACGAATCAAAACGAACGTAAGCTCTCTGATTTATAACTCTACTCGCTCTTTCTGTGGCTAAGACAATCACTTTTCTCACTGACTTTCTCTACATTAATATAGTTTCCGCTATGAGTAATATTAAGTCTGCATATAAAGTCAAGAAAAACTGGGAAGGAGATGTTTGTGTGCCTCAAGCTTACACATGGGAAGGTGTGAATTGTAGCTACAGTGGCACAAGCATGCCTAGAGTAATAGCTTTGTAAGTGTCATATAAACTGTCTTTTCTCTCAATCTTTAAACCAAGATTGTCTGAGTGAGTGAGTCTCAAGCAGTTATTTCTCTATACAACAGAAACTTGTCATCCGCCGGATTGACAGGAGAGATAGTGTCTGATATATCGCGTCTTTCACAGTTGCAAATTCTGTAAGTTTGTTCTCTTGTTTGGTATAACGGTATGCAAACTGTAGTAGAAGTCGTGAAGATACTTAAGCGTTCATGTTTTATCTTTCAGGGACTTGTCAAATAACAATTTGACTGGACCAATACCAGTTTTCTTAGCTCAACTTCAATTCCTGAGAGTCCTGTGTGTATTTTCTCAACCAGAGCTAACAACAAAACACTCATAGCTCCTGGTAAATAGCAAATGACTTTGTCTACTATGGATTTTGCAGAAATTTGGCAAACAACCAGCTAAGTGGTCCTATATCGTCAGCTTTCATGGAAAGAAAAGACATGTTGTTTAGGTATTTTGTCATTCTTTATATGTTTGTGAAACAGTTGGACGACGTAACTCATAAACCTTAGTATCTATACAGTATCAACGGGAATCCAAGTATTTGTACTGAAACTGCGTGTGAAGAGATCGAACGAAATAACTCAAAGAAGAAGAAACTTCCCGGCTTTGTTATTCCATTAGTTGCATCACTTGCAGGGTTGTTTCTTATTGCCATATTTGTAGCTATACTCTTTATCTTCATGAGAAAGAAAAAACAAGGTATGTTTTAATTAAGTTATACTTGTTTTCGAGTTTACGGAAAAGTGATTTTGGTAAATGTGTATTATTTTGCTGGAGGTCGAATGATCCAGAGGTCTATTACAGCTTCGAGTAATGGACTGTCACTCCAAAGGAGAGATACTGGTTCAATGCGTCCATCGTTGCAGCGAAGAGAAACCGGTTTCTCAACACGTCCATCTTTACAAAGGATAGAAAGCGGAATGACGGATTACGAAGGAAATGAAACAGCTGTTGTTGATGCGTTTGATTTGGAACCGGCTAATCGGAAATTTGCATACGCCGAGATTGTGAATATCACAAATGGGTTTGAGAAAGATCAAGGGAAAGTAGGATTTGGGAGGAACTACCTCGGACAGTTAGATGGTAAAGAAGTAACTGTCAAGCTTGTTTCTTCATTGTCTTCTCAAGGCTACAAACAACTCAGAGCAGAGGTATATTGCCAAATCTCTTAAAACAATAATTTGCGGCATCTTTTTGATTAATGGGAAGAGACTTAGAATAGCTTATGTGAACATGCTAATTGTAGGTCAAACACCTTTTCAGAATTCATCATAAAAACCTTATAACCATGCTTGGTTATTGCAATGAAGGCGATAAACTAGCGGTTATCTACGAGTACATGGCTAACGGAAACTTGAAACAACATATCTCAGGTTCTGAAATTTTATTCCTTTTTTTCTCTATTGCATTCATACTCTCAAAGTTGCTTTATATATTTTTCTTGAAGTAACACTGATATCCGGTTTTGAATCTCGGTCTTGTGCAGAGACCAGTTCAACTGTCTTTAGCTGGGAAGATAGACTTGGAATCGCTGTTGATGTCGCACAAGGTATAAGCATAGAATCTGTTCTGTTTCTATAACAGATTCTGTTACTTCGACTTAAATTCCTCCTGTTTTAATAGGACTTGAGTATTTACATACTGGCTGCACGCCGCCGATCATTCATAGAAACGTCAAGTGTACAAATGTATTCTTAGACGAAAAGTTCAATGCGAAATTAGGCGGTTTTGGCCTTTCAAGAGCATTTGATGCTGCAGAAGGAAGTCATTTGAATACAGCTATAGCCGGGACTCCTGGATATGTCGACCCTGAGTAAGATCTAAGCTCGAATCTTTAACTAAAACTCTAAAAAAAATATTTGCTTTCTTTTGTCGGTTTTTCAGATAAAGATCTGATCTTTCTTTGCAGGTACTACACATCAAACATCTTAACAGAGAAGAGCGATGTGTACAGTTTCGGTGTAGTTCTATTAGAGATTGTTACTGCGAAACCCGCGATCATAAAAACTGGGGAAAGGATGCACATAAGTCAATGGGTTGAGTCTTTGCTCTCTAGAGACAACATTGTAGAGATTCTTGACCCGAGTCTCTGCGGGGACTACGATCCAAACTCTGCGTTTAAGACCGTGGAAATAGCCGTGGCTTGCGTTTGTCGAAACTCTAGCGATAGACCCGGAATGAGTCAAGTGGTGACAGCTCTTAAAGAGAGTTTGGCTGTAGAAATTGAGAGGAAAAAAGATTTGCCGGTTGTATCAACGGATTCAATCGAAGTTCTTGCTCTTGGCTTTGGTTCTAATCCACCTCCTCGTTTGAGATGATGATTATATTGATTCACTTTGTTTTTGCAACGTTTGATCTCTGAAAAAAAAAATGTTTATGTAATGTTTGGTTTCTTTGTGAGTTGAAACAACAAAAGAACTGTGTCGGTTAAGTTAGTTGAAACCCTACTAGGTTAGGTCTTTCTCTCCAAGGAACATAAACATCTCTTGGAGAGGTTTCTGATGATGATGGTTCTGTGTAGCAATCAATCAAATTCTCAAACCTCGTTGGTTCGGGAAGATGAACAACCTCCAAGCCTAAACCAGCCTGGGTGGGCTCTCGGGGAAAATAGACAATAACAAACCAACACATCCATAATGGTTAATTAGTTCATGTAATGTCTACTTCATAAGATCTGGTCTACAAACCATACAGTTTTACGGTCAAGCACATCGAGCCACATGATTCACGCAATACCGGTTTCTAATAAAGTAAAAAGAGTTTTGTAGCTTCATTCATCTCTATAAAATTCCAGTTTATATAGTTATGATTCCTCTAGTTGCAGTCACTTGTCCTTGACACAAGGTAAGATACAAGGAAAATGCCAAAACAACACTAGTTCGAACAAAAATTCGCTCTAAAGGATTGAAAAGAACTCAAATTCTCTTTATTCAATCATCTATAAGGTCAAAAATACCTGTAATATCATTGTTGGACAGGAGACTAATTAACCAGCAGCTCTTGTCCATGATCATACTCTAAAGCCAAGCGCTTACGAAAACAAAAACCAAGACCGGCGAGTGGAAGTTGTGTTAGAACCCAAGAATCTTAGGTGCAAGTTTCAATAAGGGCTCTAATGCGCTCGGAGAAAACTTTCTAGCAAAGAGATAACAGACTTGAGACTGCTGATCATTGTAGAGGCAGGATTTAGCTCCAGGAAGCTTCTTGAGAAAAGTTTCCGTTACATCAGCTTTGCCAAAAGTAGCGGGATGAGCACCACCGCGTGACCAATCTGTCCATGTTAATGTCCGGTTAGCCAACAAAATCCGATGTTTAACAGCCAGCATTGTTGGGAAGTAATGTTCATCATTATAACATGGTTGTTTACAAAACTCTTTGAATTTGGGATAGTAAGTTGTGTCTTGAACAATCTCAAGAGCGAGTTTCCGGTTAATTTCAAACCACTGAGACCCTTTTCGCCACTGGCTAAGCGTGATCTCAGGTTCCATTTCAATGTTATATCTTCCTCTTCCGTCACGACCTTCCTCATCAGCACAACCCATGAAACTATATCTTGATCCAGAGATATAATTATAGATAAAGCCGAAACCACGCAGAGGAACACATGATTCAGAAACCAGAACAAACCATTCGTTAGAGATATCGAGCAACGCATTAGCCAGAAGTCTCCTTTCAGCTTCAGCCATACTCATCTCTCCCCATGCCACAGCCTATAACCAAAGAGAAACCAGCATTGTAACGAACACACAAGAAGCAAATACTCAAGTGTATTGTCACAAAACATCAAACAACAGTACCTGACTTGGGATATATCTTCTGTAAAACACAGATGACTTCGAAAAACTCGATTTGTAATTCGGCAATGAATGAACATAGATTGAGTAAAGACCTTCATTTCCTTTAAAGAACATTTCCCAAAGTGGAGCAAATGGTAAAGACCCTTTGGTTAGAAACATGAAAGCAAGCTTAGGAACTCGTTTAAACGGATAACCATTTCTCCGTGGAACCATCGAAGCTCGCCAAAGCAATTCACTATCATTCATTGTGTGCCAAACATTCAAAGGAGGTCTAATAAAGCTATCTAAAGCAACAGTACCATGATCATACATAGAGATCAAAGTTGTTGGAGCAACAGGATCCAAATGTTGAAACTTCAAGAACTTGATCATGTGTATACCAACGACAGAGATACCAAGAGTCAAAACAAGCAAGAGTAACAAAATCTGAAGGAGACGAATCGGTAAAAGAGATCTAGATTGGTTTGTGTGTCTTGATTTAGGTGTTGATACTGCACTATTGTCTTTAACACCTTCCTCCATCTCCATAACCATCTAAAAGCTTCGAACTTTATTAGCTGAATCTCCAAATCCCAAATGCACACACACAGAGAATGTTACATGACACAAGAATCAAACTTTTTTTTCTTGTGAGGTTACCAAATTGGCAAATTTGATTCGATTTCCCTAAACAATCTCAATCCACAACAATCGAATCAGAGTTGAGAGAAAGCAGAGGTTTACAAAAATGGGGTTTTTAACAGAAACCCAGAAAATAAAATTTGGGATTTTATCTTAAAAACCGAAACTTGAAGGTAGAAGAAGAAGAAAATTTGGATCTTTCTGATTTTGATTAAGCTACGACGATGTTTGTCTAATGAAATCTCAAATCGTTGCAATTATACATAAATGGAACTGGTTACATATTTAATACTGAAAAACTCAGAAACATATGTTTCAATGACAATAAATTTTTCTTTAAAACTCTCTTCATTACAATGGTCCAATCAATGTTCCATTTTTTGCACATTTCTTCAATTTTGCAATCATAGTGGTCTCTTAACACTTGCATAAACATTTTATTTGATCTTTACATGGCAAGCTCTGTGAAAAAAAAAAACTGTTACCATGTTTGATATTTTCGACGAGTAGAGAGAAGAATAGAGAGAGAGCCAAATGTTTATGGTATTAAAGTTCATCTTTTTTATAACTCTGGTTCGGCGATGAAGTTTTCGAGTCGAGAAGAAGAAATCTTGTAGCCATAGAAGCATGAAGGGAAGCACCATAAGGTAGTGTTTCTTCATTGACTTCAAAATAAGGCGAGTGAGGGCTCGCCATTGGCGAATGAGCTTCGTTTTGCATTCCGACGAAGCTAAAATGTCCCGGCATTGATTCTTGGTAGAAAGAGAAATCTTCTGATCCCATCAACGGTTGCATCTCGAAGTAATTCTCAGTCCCTAACAAATCGCCTGATACGTTCTTGAAAAACTGGTGTAAGCCTTTGTCGTTTACAGTCGGTGGGAAAAAAGGTTTATTTTCCTCGAGGAAATCCACTGTTGCGTTACACATGTGCACGCTCGCTTGCCTCGTGATAACCTGGAACAAAGAATTCGAAAAGAGAGTTTAAAAGTTCGGTCTGATGAGGGAAGACAAAAGTCTCAAACTAGTCATCGGAGTGCAAAGTTACTGACCTGCTCAATTCTTTTCTTGAGTTGCGTAAAGCTTTTAGCTGAAAAAGCTCGGAATGTACCACCAATAGTAACAGAGTCTGGAATCACATTAAAAGCACCACCACCTTCAAATTTAGCAACCGTAATTACCTGCAAACACTCCCATACATCAACACATTCCATATAAAGACACTTGAAGACCAAGAGATTTATATACATACCTGTGAGTCTAAAGGATCTGCCTCTCGTGAAACGAGGTGTTGCAAGCTAACAATAACATTTGAAGCTGCTAATATCGGATCAATAGCGTGCTGAGGAAGAGCTGCGTGACCTCCTTTCCCACTTATCTTAGCTTCGAAAAAGCCACTACCAGCCAACAATGGACCTTCTCTCGAACTCACTTGACCTAATCCCAATTGATTTGTAACATGTAAACCAAAGATTGCACTCACATTCTCCAATACTCCAGCTTCCACGATTTTCTTCGCACCTCCTCCTCCTTCCTCAGCTGGTTGGAAAACTAGAATCACTGTACCCTAAGATAGTCCAAGAAATGTACAAAAACTCAAATATCAGAAGATTTCGACAAATTCAAAATCTCAAGAACCTTGATTTGGATACACCACTAGTAGTATAACCTGTAGCTCTTCTTCATGTTCTTTAAGCAATTTCGCACCACCGAGGAGCATCGCGGTGTGAGCGTCATGTCCACAAGCGTGCATCTTCCCCGGAATCTTACTCTTGTGTTCCCATTCCACCATTTCCTACACAATCCAACATAATCTCTGTCCAATAAGGATAAACTTCTCACACTAATCCATCAACACAATGAAGTAAATTCCAAATCAATTAGATCTACAAAGGTCAAATGAAAAGAGACAAGGAAACAGGACAGTAATGATAGATCTACAGAGTAACATAAACACAAACAAAACTTTCACTAAAACTACAATGACTTTTTTGAGTATCCAAACACTGTTCCATAGAGAAGATCAAATTTTACCTGCATAGAAAGTGCATCCATGTCTGCTCTTAAAGCAACAAAAGGAGATTGACCAGTACCAATATAACCAACAACACCAGTTACAGCAATTGGATACTTATAAGACACACCCATCTTGTCCAATTCTGTTCTAACGAGCTTAGATGTCTCTACTTCCTCGTAACCTAATTCTGGTTTCTCATGGATTTTCCTTCTGATTCCAACCATCCAATCGAAAAAATCATCTCTTTTAGCTAAATCAAGAAACTTTTTAGGGATTTGAGAAAACCCATCAGAGGAAATCAGACAAGAATTGAGTAACAACAAGTGAAGAATCAAAAGGAAAGAAACCCATTTGCAGAAGAAACTCATGG